CATTACACAACATTAAATCACACTCACTCACTCACTCACTCACTCACTCACTCACTCACTCACTCACTCACTCACTCACTCACTATAAGATGACTGTGTTTACAGTCCTTTGTGTGGTTCGATGGTAAAGGAAGTGAATTACGATCATGATGAGTTCTGTAGCTGTTGAGGTTGTAACTAACACCGGAACAAGAACTGCATTCATAAGCATGATAAGGCAACACGGTGTCCAGCGATAACAGCCAATCTTGGATACTCTTGTCAACTGCTGAATGAAACAGGAAATAGCCTCCAGTTGTTGTGAAATACTTTGAGGACATGTCTTAGATTCCTCTTGTTATGATTGTCAACTGACTATCATCGAAACAGTTTTAGTTTCACCGACTTTGAACAAAGTTTGTTAAAAAATATGTTGATCAATGAAAACAAATTTACATCTATGTCTATGGTTTTAATAAGGGCCTGCTGTGTCAATTTTTCTAGAAGCCAGGGGAGCTTATTACCGCGAATATAGTAATGTTAGTTTAACTTCAGGAGGAGAGAAATCAGAATTAGTTACAAGGGCTGAAGGAGTCCAGTCTTTGTTCAACACCGCACTCAGCATTATTCCAGCTACATGACGGCCGTCGGTCAATAATAGAGTCTGGACCAGATAATCCAGTTTTGTGAGCAATGGTCCACACTGTAAGGGTACGATGACACGCTATCAACAAAGTCACAGAGTCCGACCACCCAGTCCATTTGGTCACCTCTTACTACCAGCATCGGTTGCTAGGGATCCATTATGACTCAGAATCCCTTCAGGGCGAGTCTTTTAAGCCTGAAAAAATAATCAACCTGCAACATCAGCTACTAGTCGCTTTTAGCAATATTCCAGCAATATCATGGCAGTGGACTCCAGAAATGGGCTTCACACATTGTATCCATGTCGGGAATCGAACCCGGGCCTTCGGCGTTGCAAGTGAACGCTTTAACCACTAGGCTACCCGACCGCCCCAGTCAGGAGGAGAACTTACTACAAGGAGAGTAAGGTGGTCACAGCTCCAGATAAGCAGAGTTAGGAAGAATGGAAAAAAGATGCTAGGACTTGGATATTTTTAATAAGCCACGTATTGTTTTGTTTGTTTGTTGTTTAACGCCACACTCAGCAATATTCCAGCTGTATGACGGCGGTCTGTAAATAATTGAGTCTGGACCTGGCAATCGAGTGATTGACATCATGAGCATCGATCCAAACAAAGGGGATACGACGACATGCATCAACCAAGTCAGTGAGCCTGACCACCCGATTCATAATCGCCTTTTACGACAAGCATGGGTTGCTGAAGACCTATTCTTCTAAGGACCCCTTACTTAGTTCAACACTGCACTATATTTTGTGAGATCCATTCCAACATGCTGTCACATTCAGTCTGTATCTTTTCAGGGTTTCACCTTGACTTACAAGACTCGGGGTCCAGGGGACCCCCAATAATTAATTTTGAAGGTCCTTGCAGAAATATGAGGGTCCTGTAAAGTAATTAAATGGTGTAGTGTACTGTACATTTAAATAATTACTTCAGAGCCTGGAATGAATCAGTGATCATGTGGACAGTGGTCATGATAGATGGATGACGTGACATACACCAATAACTCCTTGATGCGTTGGAGGTACAATAAATATTATTGTGCGTCCCGGAGAACACAGTTTCTTTTTCTTTTTCTGCATCCAATCGCAGCATTCATGTGTCGTGTAAAACCCTGATCTTTTGTTGTCAGTGAATCTGCTTTGTTTGTAAGGTTCAGAGTTCAGTCATTGTGTTTTCCATTATCCCGAGGTTCACACCTTCTGTTGTCTCACCTTCAGCAGGCCTTGACTTTGTTCAAATACCATGAAAAGGCTTTGAATTTGGCAACCGTTGCCATATTAGATATTATATTTTATATACACTAGTTGAACCTGTCACTTGTCCTTCCTGAATTTACTAGTCTTGGACTACAGACTTTGGTTCATTTTGAACCCTGGTATCATTGTTAAGCCAGCCTTTGAAGTTCAGGCTGGTCTGCTAGCCTGAGACTACTGAATTGTTCTGAGGACAAGTTTGTCTGTCTGTTTTTCTGTTTGTTTGTTGTTTTACACCACTCTCAGCAATTTTCCAGCTATATGACGGCGGTCTGTAAATAATCGAGTCTGGACCAAACAATCCAGTGATTGACATCATGAACATCGATCAACTCATTTAGTATGACATCATGCATCAACCAAGTCAGCGAGTCTGACCACCCAATCCTGTTAGTCTCCTCTAACACCAAGAAGTCGCCTTTGCTTTAGATCTATTCTAACCCGGATCTTCCCTGGTCCTGAGGACAAGTAAAGATCCAATGATGGTAGTCCTCATTGACTAGTAATATTTGAGGGCTATAATTCTGAACCAGATCTCAAAGACTAACGGGATCGGGTGGTCAGCCTCGCTGGTTGATGCATGATGTCATATCCTAAATGAGTTGATCGATGTTCATGATGTCAATCACTGGATTGTTTGGTCCAGAGTCAATTATTTACAGACCGCCGTAATATAGCTGGAACAATGCTGAGTGTGGCGTTCAACAACCAACAAATCAAAGCTTCAATTTTGCTACAGTGAGTTGGATTTTACATCGCTTTTAGAAGTATTCCAGCAATATCATGATGGGGAACACCAGAATTGGGTTTTACACATTGCACCTATGTGGGGAATTGAACCTGTGCCTTTGTCTTGAAGAGCAAACGCTCAACCGTCCCTCAATTTTGCAACAAATTGGAACTGAATAAAAAAAAACAGAAAATGTAAACATGGTAACATTTCTGATTCAGTCCAGTAGGACTAGCTACGGGCTCTGAGGTACTTCAAACAAGGTTTCTCTTCGTCATCTAGAAGGGGCCGTTGGGTAGCCTTGTGGTTAAAGCATTCGCTTGTCACGCCGAAGACCCGGGTTCGATTCCCGACATGGGTACAATGTGTGAAGCCCATTTCTGGTGTCCCCCGCCGTGATATTGCTGGAATATTGCTAAAAGCGGCGTCAAACCATACTCACTCACTCACTCACTCACTTTGTCATCTAGACTAGTCTTTTAAAAAAACATGAATTTCTGAGGCCGTTAAATAGTTACATAACATGATGATGCACTTCACATTGGATTGCTCCACTGTCAGTTGGTAAATAGTCTTGAAACACTTATGTGTGGAGTTGGATATTTTGATAGTGTATTTGGATATACAACTCGAGACATTCTGAAAATGAAATAAAGTAAGAATGTCCTAGTGAGCTTGTTTGATAGCACATGGCCTTCAAAAATGTTATCTTGCCTTAAAAAGACTTTAAACTTGGTGACTCAAGTTTGTAGGAACCATGCAGGTACACCTTTGTCCATATATAACGCGGTGTTGTATTGCTAATTTAATCATCCTAAGTCTTTGCCTCATAATTTAGTAACTTGAATCTTGAATATTTAATGTGAAGCACATGTTAAGTTCCTTATATGGCGAGGCTGTCGTTACAGAGTGTAACGAGCTTTATGTCAAGCTTACACTCCGGCAGACTGATGACCCATGTTTTGACTGCAAGGTCTGCGAGCTTAATCAGCAGCTCGGAATAAGTGACTTTTTTCATCTGCAGAGCTGTCTTCCATGGCATAAACACCAACACAAAGTTGCCATGACCTTAGTTTTGGTTTCAGATCTTTGTTTTCCTGACTAAATCTTTCAAATAAATGTAACATTTCTTTGAAAGAAAATTATCTTTTGCAATTTTACCCGGTTTCATTTTAAAGTCAGAAAAAAAGGTAACAAAGAAGTTCCGAATGTTGACATGCTATTGTCCCATTGTTGAAACTAATTATACCACGAGGTTCTAGGTCTCCTGCTTCCAACATGTTCAACAGGCCAGCAAAATAGACAAAGAAACTCTCATGCACACAAACAAAATAATAATGAAAAAAAAATACCCAATTTTTTAATTCCATATTCTGCATGGTATGAAATTGTCCAAATCAAGATGTAGATACATGTCTTTGTCTGAGAGCCAACTTGGAGCACAGAATGGGACAGTGTTGAAAGAGAGAAAAAATCAATATTCACTTGCAGATGGGGGACTGGGTAAGACAGTTTCTAGGCTAGTTCAGGTCACCGTTGCAGCAGTGAGTAATCAGGCAGTAGGCTTCGAATGAGACGCATAATACATGCAACATTCTGTGATTCTTGCAAGAGTTTCGTTCAGGATATTTCACCATGTCGGAGGTGGAAGAGAGCGATCAAAAGGAACAAAGTGCAATTTCTAATGGCAAAAAAGATGTTTATAGTGCCCTATATCAGGTAGGTGGATAGACCGTGGATTGTAATATGTCTGTCGTCTGAAGCGGTGCTTCGGAGAGGTGTCGAATTTTTGTCATTGATTTGGCATGAAAGGAAAGATTGGGTTACCCTCAGCTCCATGAAAGAAACGTTTGTTGTTTGTGTTGGGGGGAAATGTTTAACTGGTAGATTATGTTAAATGAGGTCGACATCTTTGTTTGGTGTCCTTACGTTCAGTGACACGGTTTCGGGCGATCATGACATCACTCTCGATGCATGATTGTCGAATCAATTATTAAGGATAACATACAATTTCATTGAGGTCTTTGTGAACGTGTTGATTCTGTGGGAGAGATCCACTCACACCATGATTCAAATTTTCTCTAATTTGATTTATTCTATAATTTATTCTTCTTTGGAATGTGTTAGTCAACATTTTCTGAGAACTCTTGTTTGTTGAATGTTTGTTGAATGTAATGTTGTTTTAAGAGTTGTACAATATATATATACTCCTTATTTCATGACGAATGTATAACTTTATAAATTGATGAATTAAATGTTTCAAATATGTTGCATAATCATGCCATAAATACTGCCACAAAATGTAAATAAAAAATAATAATGCACATACTGTGAAACCCAACTTAGAATCATTACCATTGCCTAATAATAAGCACATATTGGTTTCAGAAAGCTGAAAACAGCGGCGAAAAGGTAACAATGATTAACAACTTGCAGTTGTTTACCAACAGATGACTGGAAATGTTGACATAGAAATGTGGAAAAGTTGATATTGTTACCAATGCTGGCAACAATTAAGGTGTTTTATTCATCCAAAGTCCACTACGATGTGGTTTTGGAAGTTTAAATTGATAATTTGCAATTTTTTTAAAAAGATCAAAATATTTTGGAAGTTGAAAAAGGGGACATCTTCATGGTTGTTATATTTAAAGTATCTAAATATTTGGATAAATATCATTGATTTGAAATTGAATCGGTGATGTTGGAATTATATTCATGATATTAAGATCCACAAAGTTGTGATATTTCCAGTTACCTAGGCAGCATGGCTGATGTGTTCAAGTTATGAATACGTACATATATTGGTGATGTTGTATGACGAACTAACATGCCCTCAGACTGAAGGCAAAATGAAAGTTGAACTACTGGTGTGGTATTTAGCTGAATCAAATTAATATTCCTGGTTTCAGGCCCTTTAAGCATGAATATAAACCTTGTTCGAGATGCATTGTTTCTTATTGTGCTGTAGAATATATGCCATTTTATGAAGGAGAGAAATACTGTGACAAGGCTTTTCATACAGCATCATTGACAACTTCGTTGTCCTTGTCAGAATAATCTCCAACATCCACCACCAACATCAACGTCACTGTTTTTGTCAACATCGTCACTGATAACATTAATACCATCACTAACATCACTGTTTTTGTCAACATCGTCACTGATAACATTAATACCATCACTAACGTCACTGTTTTTGTCAACATCGTCACTGATAACATTAATACCATCACTAACGTCACTGTTATTGTCATCATTCACAATGGTGTTGACATCAACACCACATTTTACAGATTATTGAAGTGTCTTGTGTAGCATTATCTTCATTGGGACTACATAGACAATCTCATCCATGACAATACTGGTTAGATTTAGCCTTCAGAAACCCATGCATTTCGTAAGAGGCTACTAATGTGATCAGGTGGTCAGGCTCCCTGACTTGGCTGATGCATGTCATATGCCAATTTCATAGATAGATGCTCATGACGTCAATCACTGGATTGTCTTGCCCAAACTCATTACTGGCCGCCATCAGATAGCTGGAATATTGCTGAGTGCGGTGTTAAACAACAAACAAACAAACAAACAAACACAAAAATGGAGAATCTAACCCATGTGTCAAAGATAACAACATGAACAAAGTTTAAAGGGAAGAAATTTATTGACTCATGTTGATATATTTGATATCAAAGGACATGAATCAGGATTATGTTACACATTGCCAATGAGTCATCAGGTAAACATCCCATAGCGTTTTCATCACAACTATCATCATGCATGGCCAGCTTCTGAATTCAAATCATTTAAAAAACATTTCTTGCTTTGTTTGAAAAAAGTGCCTTTGATAAATTAATCAGCATGACTAACTGCAGAGTAAATAAGAGACTAACAAGCCCCAAGTACCCACACTTGAAGATACAGATTTCAGTAGGGCCAAGTAGCAACAGTGTATGTCTGAAATCAATTCCCAGTGTGGATGACGTTAGACTACCTCTCAGGTGTGGCCTGACCATGTGTCTCACACTCAAGTGTGTCCTGCCGATGTGTCTCACACTCAGGTGTGGCCCGACCATTTATCTCATACTCAGGTGTGGCCTGACCATTTATCTCACACTCAGGTGTGGTCTGATCATGTGTCTCACACTCAGGTGTGGCCTAACTATGTGTCTCACACTCAGGTGTGGCCTGACCATGTGTCTTACACTCAGGTGTGTCCTTACCATGTGTCTCACACTCAGATGTGTCCTGACCATGTATCTCACACTCAGGTGTGGCTTGACCATGTGTATTACACTCAGATGTGTCCTGACCATGTGTCTCACACTCAGGTGTGGTCTGACCATGTGTCTCACACTCAGATGTGTCCTGACCATGTGTCTCACACTCAGGTGTGGCTTGACCATGTGTCTCACACTCAGATGTGTCCTGACCATGTATCTCACACTCAGATGTGGTCTGACCATGTGTCTCACACTCAGGTGTGTCCTGACCATGTGTCTCACACTCAGGTGCATCCTGACCATGTGTCTCACACCCAGGTGTGGCCTGACAAAGCATTTCACACTCAGATGTGGTCTGACCATGTGTGTCACACTCAGGTGTGTCCTGACCATGTGTCTCACACTCAGGTGTGGCCCGACCATTTATCTCACACTCAGGTGTGGCCTGACCATTTATCTCACACTCAGGTGTGGCCTGATCATGTGTCTCACGCTCAGGTGTAGCCTGATCATGTGTCTCACACTCAGGTGTAGCCTGACCATGTGTCTCACACTCAGGTGTGTCCTGACCATTTATCTCACACTCAGATGTGTCCTGACCATGTGTCTCACACTCAGGTGTGTCCTGACCATGTGTCTCACACTCAGATGTGTCCTGACCATGTGTCTCACACTCAGGTGTGCCCTGACCATGTGTCTCACACTCAGATGTGGCCTGACCATGTGTCTCACACTCAGATGTGTCCTGACCATGTGTCTCACACTCAGATGTGTCCTGACCATGTGTCTCACACTCAGGTGTGCCCTGACCATGTGTCTCACACTCAGGTGTGGCCTGACCATGTGTCTCACACTCAGGTGTGTCCTGCCGATGTGTCTCACACTCAGGTGTGGCCCGACCATTTATCTCACACTCAGGTGTGTCCTGACCATGTGTCTCACACTCAGGTGTGTCCTGACCATGTGTCTCACACTCAGGTGTGGCCTGACTATGTGTCTCACACTCAGGTGTGACCTGACCATATGCCTCACACTCAGGTGTGTCCTGACCATGTATCTCACACTCAGGTGTGGCTTGACCATGTGTCTCACACTCAGGTGTGTCCTGACCATGTGTCTCACACTCAGATGTGTCCTGCCGATGTGTCTCACACTCAGGTGTGTCCTGACCATGTGTCTCACACTCAGGTGTGTCCTGACCATGTGTCTCACACTCAGGTGTGGCCTGATCATGCGTCTCACACTCATGTGTGGTCTGATCATGTGTCTCACACTCAGGTGTGTCCTGACCATGTGTCTCACACTCAGATGTGTCCTGACCATGTGTCTCACACTCAGATGTGGTCTGACCATGTGTCTCACACTCAGGTGTGGTCTGATCATGTGTCTCACACTCAGGTGTGTCCTGACCATGTGTCTCACACTCAGATGTGTCCTGACCATGTGTCTCACACTCAGGTGTGGCCTGACCATGTGTCTCACACTCAGGTGTGGCCTGATCATGCGTCTCACACTCAGGTGTGGTCTGATCATGCGTTCAACACTCAGGTGTGGCCTCATCATGCGTCTCACACTCAGATGTGGTCCGACCATGTGTCTCACACTCAGGTGGGGCCTGATCATGTGTCTCACACTCAGGCGATGCCTGACCATGTGTCTCACACTCAGGTGAGGCTTGACCAAGTGTCTCACACTCAGGTGTGTCCTGCCGATGTGTCTCACACTCAGGTGTAGCCCGACCATTTATCTCACACTCAGGTGTGGCCTGACTATGTGTCTCACACTCAGGTGTGGCCTGATCATGCGTCACACTCTATCATTCCCTGCATCTAATAAGTAATTCATAATGGCCTTAAAGGGGCTCTATCACTCCCTGCATCTAATAATAAATTCATTGTGGCCTTAAAGGGGCTCGATCACTCCCTGCATCTAATAATATATTCATTGTTGCCTTAAAGGGGCTCTATCACTCCCTGCATCTGATAATTAATTCATTGTGGCCTTAAATTGGCTCTATCATTCCCTGCATCTAATAATTAAATCATTGGGGCCTTAAAGGGGCTCTATCACTCTCTGCATCAAATAATTAATTCATTGTGGCCTTAAATTGGCTCTATCATTCCCTGCATCTAATAATTAATTCATTGTGGCCTTAAAGGGGCTCTATCACTCCCTGCATATAATAATTATTTCATTGTAGCCTTAAAGGGGCTCTATCACTCCCTGCACTCCCTGCCAGCCCACCCATGGGTAATACTTATTGTCTACGATCACAGAGGCAAATCATCGTCTCCCACCCCGCTGTGACATCTCACTACAGACATCGACAACAGATTACATCAACAGGTCACCAGTAAACACAGATGTCAAGTAACTGTCAACAAAATTGAAATAGCGTCTGTTTTTTATTTGGTTATCCTGGATTATTACAAAGGGGCTTGGAATTCCTTTTGATGGGTTATACTCACTCAATGGCTGATTAAACATTTTGTATTGGGAAACATCTTGGTAATAATAACCTTGTTGAAACATTTTAACATTGTCTTGAATCAGAGCTTCCATTGAGCTTTAAGGGACCTCAATGACAGAAAACCTCAAATACCTTTGTATTATTGAAATACCTTTGTATGATAGTCACTGAACTTAAGAATTTGAAAACTCCCCTTTAAAAATCTGGGTGATCTCCTTTGTATTGTATCTGATGTTGATAGAGTCATTAATTGTGTAAACTGGAGACTTCAAAATTCCAAAAATGTTTAGGGGGCACGGGTGGCCCAGTCGTCTAAGGCGCCGCGATTCACTGTGCAGAGTTGCGTCCCTTGGGCACGCTAGAAACCTATGATTGTGGGTTCGAATCCCGGTTCGCCCCGATTATGTTTCTAGGTTTGACAGCACCACACCCGTGCTTGTGGGTTTCACTGAAGTGGTAAACGTCTGAGACCTGCATCACTTCGGGCTTTCCTCCCACATTAAGCTGACACGCCGTGATATAACTGGAATACTGTTTAAAACGGCGTTAAACCCAACTCACTCACTCCAAAAATGTTTAAGAATTGATATGTTTTTGCAGTTATAGTGGAATAAATGTAGTGTGGTCCAGTGTGCACACTGTTTTTATCTGTGTTGAGGATTTACGTAAAGTGATCACACAGTTTCTTTTGTATATCCTCCCATAAATGCCAAAACATATTG